ACTCGTCCAAGCTCCCCGTGGCTGGTGGCCCTCCTCCTCGTCGTGATCGGCTCGTCAAGGTCCGAAGATTTCAAAGTGGCCTTGGAAAGGGGGACCGGTCGCGCGTTTCCACTCCGCTCGTCATGCGTTGACGAGAGGTTTCCCTCGAACGATCCAAGTGCACAGAGAAGATAGAGCAACGCGAGTGGGCACGATAGGAGAAGAACTGGGACGAACAGGTCCTCATCATGAGGGACTCTACCTTGCCGAGGGGCTGTCTGCTGTTGCTGATGCTCGTTGCCGCCACTTTCCTCGTGGATGCCGCCTCTCAAGTGAGTATCATCACTCTCCATACCAATTTGAAATTTATCGTTAATTAAACAATCCTGTGAAACGTTTCTTCAATTCAACTTTTGAACGATGGTAAATAAAATAAAAAAAAAAAAAAAATACGCGAATGGAGTTCCAGTGACTTTCTTCACCTAGAACAGGTCAGGTCTGTGTGGATTTAGGATAACATTTCTTGGGGATGCTTCGTGAAAGCATCGTGGAGAGATTAAGTTAGTTGGATTGTGTCAGGCTTTGACAAGATCCTTGAACTATTTCCTAGCCTTTGCCAATCGATTGCTCTTTAAAATGTATCAATCAAGCATGTCACGTTGACAGGTCAGTGAAATTCTTTATCCTTAGATTTTCTCAACTTTTTATTTTCGCTCTCCTATCTTCAGCTTCTCGAAAATTACGAACACGCAAATTCTAACAACCACGAAGAATTGTAAAGAAATTGGATTCACGAGGAATCCAATGCTAATCATCGAAGAAACAACGAGATAATTGAATAATGTCCTTCTGATTCGTTGGTCCAAGAGGCAGGAAGAGGCAAGGCTCAAGGAATCGGCGGCCAATTGGCACAGATCGGTCAAATTTTTTGGCAAGCTTTGAAACTGGCCCGTAAAGTTCAGTCACCTGATTATTCGCGGCATGTTATGTCGGAATGATAAGGATCTTCGCATATTTTCCGCGGCGAAACGAGCTTATCTGTCGCTCCGATAACTTACGTTCTCTAATACCTGATAAACATTCAAATATAACTCGTGAAATTAATGCTCAGATTAATCAGGCTTTTGAAATTGTTTCAATCAATGTATTACATAATTCCAGTCTTTCTCTCTCTCTCTTTTTTTTTTTTTTTTAGTTCTGGAAATAGCATTAAATAATAGGTTTAATTTATTAATGCTCGAGGGTTTCCACGTGTGGTTGATAGGTTTCTTCGTGTTGGTCAAAATTGAATTGGAACATTGTCCGAGAGGTAATATAAATTAGGCGGAGTTCAATTTCAGTTCCGAATTTCTAAGCTTTGATTGCCACTCTTGCTTTGTTTACATGGCCAAGCTTGGACAGTTCTTGGCCACGTTATTGAATAAGTTATAATAATATTGAATGATGTCATAATTATAATAACGATTGAACGATGTATGCTAATTCAGAAACGAGTTTAGAATTTATTTGATTAAAAAAAAGAAATGTATTGATATATTCAACAAGAAGAACGATTAGATTAGATTGCGATTGCAATTATGTTTCCAAGAAAATGATATAAAATGTGTGTTTCTATAAAAATCATTGCCATCCTTAAGAATTGATTAAGTAAATTAATAATGTAATTATTTGAAAATACGAAGTAGGAAAAAAAATCAGAAAATTTTAATTACACAAGTATTCGATTTCATTTTAGTATGCAATATGGTCATTATAGTCACCTGATTTCACAATCACGTATACGGTAAGGTAATATCATTATCACTATTTCAATTTCTTTATTCATTATTCATTATTCTTCGCCTCATAACAAAGTTGCAAAGTTTAAATTCTACAGGTACTTATATCATAATATAGATATATTTACGATTATACATCACGTAACTATCCAATATTCTTCCTTTCGATGTAATTATATGTCACAAAAAATTCATACTGCTTGAATAACATAGTTATCCAATCGTTCATTATTTCCAGTATTCACACTGTACACACGTTATAGCATAATTTGAAATAACTAATAAATATGAACAGAGATATTCTATAATCCAATATATATATATATATATACATACATTAATTCTTTTAATCAATACAAAATGTAATTGTGCAATACGGTTGCAAAGATGGTTGCAAAGAAAAAAACAGAGAAAGAATGTGGACGTGATCAACAAGTAAGTACACACATCGATCCGTGTCTCCGAGTTTGGCTTCTCCTCGATTATTATTCGTAAAGGTTCGCACGATACGAATAATTTGCTTGACTCGATCGTATTCCGATCACATCGAGAAGTTGAGAGAAACGGGGAGAGCTCGCGTCAGCTTTGCAAACTGCCAAACCGTCGAAATGTCATCCGATTTCGAAGGATTTTTGCCACGGTGTGCTTCCCCTCCCCCCCTTCTTTCCTCCTTATCACGCCCGAGTCGATCCAACGATCTCCTTTCTTATTTCCCTCGTTGAAACTTAATTGGCTCCGATAATTGATCCGGTACACGTGATATTTTAAATTTTATCTGCGCCTCTCGAGACGAGAGGTATTGATGTTCGTGTTTAAAAAAAAAAAAAAAAAAAAAAAAAAAATAACACGATTTAGGATAATCTTGTTTAATCTATTTAACACTCTCGATCCAATTTCCGACATATTTGCAATACTTTGTAATCTTACCAATTTACGCTACTTGGTGATAAGAATATTGAAAACTTTGTTGATCATCTAGGTAAGATATAATTGATCTAGTTTTCACGAAGTTTCAACTATTCCTGAAAATAACATCCAAAATAATATCCAAATAAATATCCTAATTATCTCGATTTTTTGTTACAGAACATAGCGTTATCGTAAAATTGTTCGCCTATTTTGATATTCGTTTATTTCGATTTAACTTTTCCACCACTGATCATTGATTGATCGTATTTTTATTATATCATTTCTGAAATGCTCTATATCGAAAATGCATCGAAAAAGTTCAATAATTGAAACAATCAATAACTTGTTAAATTCCTCCTCGGTCACGTTAAATTATTTAAATATATATATATATGCTAATTAGATAACCAAAGTTAGTCAAGTTTGTGGAACACACTGTTGCCCATCACAACATTTTTCTCTAACCACATTTCAAATGTGTTAATCTCGCCTTATCTTCACGAATTACCATTTTTACCATTTTTTTTATCAACTTCTTATAGACGTCAGGCTAATTGAGGTCGCGGTAGAGATATTGAGATAGTATTAAGTGAAAATGCTCGTCGCGAATATAGTCTAGCTATGTCTTTGACACACGACGATAGTTCTATTGAATTATCCGCGATAACTCGAGGATGATTGCGTTATTTGTTCCTTCCTACGGTATATCACGGTGGCATCGTGTTAGAAACCGATCGATGAAAACTTGGTGTATACGATGATCAGTTTGGGATATAATTTTTATCTAATAAAAGGAAACTCTCCAGTTTCCGGTTGAAAAGCAAAGGAATAGATTTTGATCCAAGAAGAAATTTCTGCAAATCTTCGAACCGTGCAAACGCATTTATAGAGCGGTATATTTATAGGTGGAATCGGAGCAACGATCTTTAAGGCACGGATTTAAAGCGAAAAGATGGTCCTTGATGTTACAGTTTTTTTTTTCCCCCCCCTTCTCTTTTTTCTTTTCCTTAAACTTTCGAGATAAATATGGAATTGTATTATGTATGTTGGAAAAAAAAAAAAAAATTCATTTTGAAATATTCTTTGGAGAACGATTAATTTGGATTATGTGATGTTACATAATTGTGACAGTTTTTTTTTTTCCGTTCTTAGATTTTCAAAGATAAATATAGAATCTTTACACGGAGGAGAGAGAGAGAGAGAGAGAATATATTCATTATCTTTGGAGAATGATTATTTTTAGCGTGGATTAATTATGGTATTTCATAGTTGTAGCTTGTAAAATGTGTATTGTATATCAAGTGGAAATTTTGATAAGAGAAATGACGAGTTCCTTCTCTCGTTAATTCTTTATCACCTGATACATTAGTCATTGCTTCTTATTATCTGTATGTGTTTGTTTTATTTCATAATAAGAAGACCGAATTTAGTGGAAAAATTTCTCATAAACCATGAAATCGACGATTAAAAGAAAAAGAATGTTTAATAACAAACTGCTTAAAATGATAGATTTCGCTTTTTTTTCTCGTTATTAAAAACGATTATTAAAAACGAAAAAATATTTTTAATAAAATTAATATCATTTTTTATCAATTCTCACTTGCTAATATATCTTTCACAACCTGGATCATCTAGGATTATTTTTTTCACCATTCTCTCAAACAATCTAAAAAAAATTCTAAAATACCCATCGAAGTCTCTTCTTCATCATCCAATCGAATTTATCATCCAATTTAAACGAGCCAGCTTAGACAGCCACGAATATTAAATATATTTATACATACCAATTCGTTTTTACAACATCATTTCAATTACATTAATATAACATACCTAAAATATTTAAATTTTTATTATTTATAATTTCATCGTTAAATAATACTTACTTTATATTCTAATAAATTTCATTCTAAAAATCATCACGCGAATTATTCTTTATTCCATTGCTCGAAGAAAGAATTTTATCAATCCGAAAGTTAATGTTTGTCAAATAAATTGCACTCGAGTGAATTTTTTTTTTTTTTTTTTTTTTTTAATTCGATACAGATCACATGGAAAAGTTATTTTACCATTTCCGTTCTCTATGAAAAATTCCACGTTTCTTCGAAATCTCTATCATAGCTGCTTCCAGTTTGATTCTTTTTTATTAATTAAATTCTCTCGCAATTACGGATGTGCCAATCTTCGTGAGATTCTGTATAATAAAACCATTCACAAGTAAAATTTTAAAATTGGTCGTTCTTTAAACTCTCGAATTTTTTTATCGAGAGTTTTTCACGATTTTTGTTCAGAAGATTCACAAGATTCATTTGCAATGATGATAGTTTTCCCTTATTATTACGACACTAGTGAAAATAAGTCGACTGTGAAGTTAACGGATATTGAATTAAAATAGTCTATTCTGGGGGAGAGGGAGAGGGATGGTGGTTACGGTTCATTGGTGATTCGATTGCTTCGAAAAACAGGCTTCCTCCTGTCTGCGCTTCAAGTCTGAAACTTGAGACCTCTTCTTTATATTACGTACCCCTTGTTGTTGCACTGTAATTTCTTCGAATATTTTGGCAGCTACGAACGTCAGTTCATTATAATTTACGCAGATATTGTTGATAACATTGCCAAGAAGTGGAATAGTTCGTAAAATGATCAGCAGGTGAAACTTGTGCAATTTTAAATTTGTATATTTGGATTCCTGTTGGTGATTTTTAAAAGATATTTTAGATAGGCAGATAATAATTAACGACAGTGTCATCGATCAAATTGTCAATTGTTGAAGTTACAAAGTGGGTTGGGTTAATAAAAATGGCCCAACACCGATAAATCCAAATTTATCGTTTAACTTATTTATTTTATTTTACCTTCTCATTATCTATTGACGATCCTTTTTTATTTCAAAATGTTGCATAAAAAAAATAAATTCAACTTCACACACAATTTACCACACAATTTATCCTCTTCTCTTTTGCAAATCAATTCCATCGTCCATCCAGTTCCTCCGCCGATCAGAGATCGAGTATCCAAATTAAATCAATCCTTTTCTCGTTTCGAAAGAAATTATCCTCGTTCCAAAAAGAAACCTAGAACAATCGTGAGAAAGAAATAAAGAAAAAAAAAAATTGGTATTTATATGTACAGAGGATTGGGTAACTTTTCAAATTACGGGCTCCATCGAGTTCGTGGAAGCCCCTAAAAATCTTGAGGAAATGCTACCCCATCCTGATGCAAAGGAGGAAAAGAGAGGGAGAACGGTATCGAGTATAAGGCCGCGTGCATTACCATATTTTTCATAAGGTACAAATCTTTGGAGCTTTTCTCCGGCCTGGAAATGGCCAGCTGGACGTGTCCACCTCGGCGAGAGAAAAAGATACAACCGGTGACAGCCGAGGTAAAAAGGATTTCCATCTTTTTCTCTCTCTCTCTCTCTCTCACTCTTCCCTCCTCTCCATGGAATCCACGATAGGATGGAATTCGAGTTGTGCGAGGATATTTTTATTAATTCATGAATGATTCTATTTTTAATTCATATACTGATACGTAGAAGGATCTTTCTATTATATTTCGAACAAATATAAGTATAAGATTTTATTTTTATTTTCCTGTTCTATTCTGGGAAATTTTGCTGTATTGCAAGTTTCTTTGGAAATAGATTCATAAAGAGTGATATATATTGATACATTATTTGGAAGGATTTATCATTTTTCATTATATTATTCTTTAAAAATTAAAATTTTGTTATATTCTGAGAAGTTTTGTCTCAGATAATTGGTTATATTCCAAGATTATCTGGAAAGAATTTTTTGAGAATGATAAAATTTCCAAGTGATTTAATAGTGTTATTTAAAAAGATTTTTCATTATAAATAAAAATATACTTTAAGCTATTCAGAGAAATTATTCCATAGATTTTATTTTATTCCAAGATTTTTAGAAATAGAAATAATTAATTTAAGTTTAATCTAATATAATTCAGTTTATTATTCATTCAAGTGTGAAAATTTATATATTTATATATATTGATTTTACAGGTCATGTATTAATAACATGGATATAATAATGTTAAATGCTCTCTAAAATATTAGATTGATAAGAAGAAAAGAATGATAATTAATAAGGAAGAATATGAAAAAATGTTTCTTATCTAATTCTTCAAATAAAGTAATATTCTGCAATGAATCTATGGATAGAATTTTTATCGCTAATAGTTTACTACATTTGTCGAGGTATAGAAAAAAAATGGATATGACCTTCTATAAATTGTAAAGCAAAAAGAATACGATATCGAAGGAAATTAATGTATTAAATGTACATAATTATGTTCTTCTTTGTGATTTGACTATCGTTTGCTTTTTTTTTTTTTTTTCTTATAAATTTCTTAATTATACAGCAATCATAATATCTAACTCTATAATTTAAAATGATAATATGAAACATTTAATAAAACTTCTTGTTTATCCAGTTTTTTTAAATTTGTCGAGGCCAATTTAGATTAATACAAAATTTTATTATCTTACAAATACTCATAATTGCGGATAAGATAGATTAATGTATAATCTCCTTATTTTTTTTTATTTTTTAACTATTATTTAATTTTTCTAAAATCTAACTGCTGACAAACTCTTATTCTATATTTAAAATTTTTGATATCATTCAAAGTTTGATCTTGCATATATATGTATATGTCAAATAAAAGATCTAAGTAAATTTAAAAATCTTCTGTTGAAGTAACAAAATCTCAAGTAAAAGAATATCTATTGTCACAAAGATTAAAGTCATATTTTTTTTCATCTCTAAAAATTTAAAATTAAACAATCCATAATATTTCTACACAAAAATAACGAAACAAATTTCAAATAGAATCCAAAGAATCCAATCTGAGGACATTAAAAAAATAAATAGCGAATCACTGCCTCAAAGATTAAAATTAAAAACTTTTTTTTTTTTTTTTGCCATCTTAAAAATATCTAACATTCAAATTCATAATATTTCCGCTCAATATTGAAAGGAATTCTAAATAGTAAATTCCAATCCATAAAAGTATTCCATAAGCCTTCACGCGCAAATCTCAAAAGCATTCCGACACTCGAGAAAATCCAAGATTAAAGGAATCCACTTCCACCTCCATGCCTTCTTTACAAGGTCTTCGTCGCGATTTAGTTATTTATATATAAAATGTCATAGAAATCGCGTTAAAGTCGGAGAGAAGAGGGAACATGATTTCTAGATAGAGCGGCGATCGATTTCTCATTGCCAGCCTTGTTTCGAGTTCTCGAAGGAGTGTTTTCAAGTGCAGCTTGTCTCTGAGTACCGTGGGCTCAAATGCCTCGCGACGAGTGCAAGCTCGAGTGCCTTATCGCCTGAAGGGAGCGACTTGTTCACGCGAGTCGATTCACAGGCAATTTCACTGACCACTTTTACGTGTGGTTCTTGGCCCAGTGGGAAAGGAAGTCGTTTGACGACCGATTCATATTCTAATTCATTTCTTTATTTTGCGATATTTTCGAAGATTAAACTTTTATTTTGTTATATCTCATCTTTTCTCTTTTTTTTTTTTTGAATTTTTATCATGTTTCTTTTTTGATCGTGCTGATTGATAAATGAATTTTTAAAAGTGTTTAGAAGTATATTGATTCAGAAGTGAATCTAACCTATCTGATCTGAGTTAATGCATTTCTATTCCATCGGACGTGTTAAAAAAATTAAATTAGGATTTGGAATAAAGTTTCAAAAGAAGGAATTTAGTTAAAATGTGTTTTAAAATAAAATCAATTTATAATAATATTAACAGTTGTGATTTAGAGTGAAGAATTGAAGAGATAATGTATAACCTTCATAAATAATCAATCGATATTAATTGTGAATAGCTATGTATTTCATATCTTCCTAATGCAAACAAATATCTATATATTATATAAAATAATGTTTTTCTTCTAAATACATTGTAATCGTTAATTAAATAATAATAACAATGAGATAAAACAACGATCAAAAACGAAATAAAAATTTTATTTAATAATCGTTATCCGACTTTAAAAAGAATAAAAAATAAGAAATGATTATTGATAACAATTTTTGCGTATGTAATTCATTAAAATTGAAACAACATTTCATTGAAATGTTGTGTGTGTAGGCGAAGGTGGCGAATCGTTACGCTTTATCACACGAGATAAAACATGATGACAGTTCCAGGGAAATGATTCGTCTCTTTGTTTAGACTAACGAAATGCGTTTATTTGGACAAATTCCAATACATATTAGAAATAGATATCGAAATTCTTCTTAATCATTCATTTAGAATGAAAAAATATATAGATATATAAAATCTTGGCAAGAATCATATATGATTCAATCATTGAATTTCAGATTAGATTTCGTTCGAGGAAATAAGGAAATGATTAATTAATTTTCTTCTTCTATCGATGGATCCGATATTTAGATCACCGCCCATGAAGGATCATTGATCTCAATGATGTGTTTAAATTATAAAATCGAGAATGTTTGTTGAAGATTGCTCGTGTGCAACAGTATCTATTAAAGTCTCTTGGAATGGTGACTCTGTCGGTGTTCCTGTCGTCGTTGAAAGCTCATCCTGTATAAATATATATGTGCAGACAAGTATGAGCCAAGCGGTTACTTAAACATTCATTCCAGATATAAGAAGGATGTGAATTGCGTTCGCTTTTTAATTAATCTGATCGATCGGCAACGAAGCAATTAAACACGTCTTCAGTTTTTCCCACTTCAATTCGAAATTTTATGTTGATCGATCAATCAAGAGATCTATTTCTTAGGGAAAAATTAAAACGAGATACCGAAGATAATGTTTGAATTTTATAATATATATATATAAATATATATAAATATATATAAATATTAATTATATATAAATATTAATAAATATAAATTTAAATATTAATTAAATTTTATAAAATATATATATATATATAAATATTAAGAAAAAAGAAAGAAGAAAAAATTATATATACTGAAAATATAAATGAGATTTTTTGATAAAAAAAATATATATCAAAAATATGTATTAAAGATACTTTGTTTGGTAACAAATAATCAAAAGGTGAAAAAAAAAAAAAAAAAAAAAGAATTTGAAACATTACTAATATGAAGCTTGGAAGAAAATGAGATTTTTTTTTTTTATAAAAGAAAAGAGATATTCGGCTTTCTTATATCTAGATATTTTTTGTGAATCATATTTGCTTAGAGATCTTTAAAATAGAATCATTTCTTTGCTAAAAAAAAAAAGATGAAACGTCATTAATAATCTTAAATTTGAAATCTTAAACTATAAGAAAATTAAAGACCCAATGTAAAAAATATGATGAAATTTTTTTTTTCTAATTTTCTTTATGATTTTTGTCGTAATCAGTATAAATGAATTTTTACTCAACAATGTCATTCATCGATCAATTGTTCTTTTTATAATGAAAAGACGTGTAATAATACCAATTCATTATGAAATATACCAATTCATTATACATACATATATGCAGAAAGAAATAAAAGGCATAACCAGTAATTTAAAATGATAGAATCATACATTTAGCACGATCTTTTTTATCACATCTTTGACCCAGTTTCTTATTTCTACGATTCAGACTAGCAATTCAGATCAAAGAATTATTGAATTTTCTTTTATGACTCGATCAATTAATGAATGCATCATAACCCAGGTGTCTTCATAGATTCTTCTTCCTAGAAGATGCAATTGATTGTTACTCGCTGATTTCATCCATATAGACACTGACCCAAAACTTTCATCCAAATCACAATTTAAAATTCGATCTCTTCTTTGAATTCTATAACGATTTCTTAAAAACAATTATTGAGATCGTTTAATTAAATTGTTAAGACGATCTGATTAAATCAATCCTGGACACAATCAGATTTTGATATTTTGAAGGAATCAAAACTAGACGAGTTCATCCATCAATTATTCGTCCAATTGTGTCCCAGACAATCGAGTAACGATAAAATTGAATAATACACAAATTCGAAGAGAAGATTTTATAATTGTTAATAATAGTTTAGCAATTTTTCATCTCAGGAATATGAATTTTTTAATT